AAGTGTTTTGTTGAGGATAATAAATTTGTTCACACAACACCGGTTATTGAACATACCACAAGTGATTGGGATTCCACAATATTATTACAACTATAAATTACACTTCACAGCATCATATGAGCCCTAATTGCATATGGTATTATACAATGTATGCTTGTTGCAAAGCTTTCCTATGGATTCTCAGGATGTGATAGGCAGCTCAGATCTTACTGTTTTGTTCAAGCCATCAGATCTGAACGCAAACAAACAAGTCACTTGGTTCAACGTTTATTTTCAAGTTCCCTAGCCACATTTCATAACAGACTTTATTAGGTGCAGCAACTGAAGTATAATGATACTTTAAAAAAAATCTAATTGTAAAGTTTTTAAAGCTTAGTAAAACAAAATTAAAGCAATTAAATTACGTTTCCTCAATAATCATAAGAAATGAGTGGTTGAGTTCAACAAGCTAGACATCCAAAGTTGGAAAAAAATATTTAATTAAGCTTATGAGATCAGTTTAGGTGAATTGTTAATCTGAAATCTCAGTGGAATATTTTGTGGTTTGTTTAGTGTTTCTTTAGTTAATGGGCCTCTGTTTATCAGGCATCTAAAACATTTCAGGGGATTATATCACAGGTTTTATGAGCAAAATTGTTATAATTAATTATACCCTTCCTTTTTTTCCCTGGATCTTGCTCAGAATAACCTTTTGGCTGTTCTTGTAATATTCCAAAGTGAATTGACTCTTTTATGTAGAAACGAACTGAGCCAAGAGCTTAATATACATGTTAGAATTAATAGATTCTAATTATAATTATGAGCCTTTGGATGAATGTGATTGATTGTATAATTTTCTCTGAACTTTAATATCATCTTCAACATAATTTGCTGATTAATAACCATTGATGTCTCTGGCTTTAGTTTCTACTCTATCATCTTCTTTCTTCGACAAGGACATTCTGATTATTCGCCTTTTATTATCTAAACAAACCCAAGCTTTTATTTGACATACTGGACAGCTAAATAAACTACAGGCCAACCACCGTCAAGTGTTTCTAATTAGAACACTTATGTCAAATTATGAAATCATACTCAAAAAATAATATTTTTATCTATATTAAGCCAACATGAAAGTTTATAGAAAAATAATGCACATAAAACAACTTTGTTGGCTAAAATACAATATGCACAACTATTTTAGTTCTTCCCAACTTTCTGTTAAGATTATGTTCTCATTAGGGTTCATTTTACATGTTTCACGATGCCACCCTTGGCATTCACCAAATAAGGGACCAAGTGCAGAACTGATTGTTCTAGCCCTGACCATTAAATGCTGACCCAAAGACAAAGATTTTTAAATTCAAAATACCCCTGGGGGAAATCCATTTATGGGTGACTTCTAAAAATAGTTATTTGAATGTTATCCTGTTCACTCTATGTTTTTAGGATCTGATTAAATTGCTGTTCTGAGCAAAGTTGTTCAAAATAAAAAAACAAGATTTTTTTAAAAAATCTTTTGTTTACCTTTTCTGTTCAGTATCCTGTCATGGGGTCAAACATGGCTCTCCATCTGACTCCAGTTTCCATGAACTGGGTCTTAATTGGCCATACATTATGTACTGCAGATGTTCATCCGAATTCAAATGGGCCAAATGCAGTGACTGCTGAAATAAAAGCAGTAATGGATAAGAACTGAGAGTGGAATCTCCAATGCTGAAAATCATTCAAATAAAGTCCAGAATTCCATTTTTACATTGTATCAGTAAGTCATTCCTCAAGTCACATTGACTGGATTTTAAAAAATCTTTACCCATCGTAAAATCATTCAGGTTTTTTTTGGCTGAAGCTTTTAGTTATCTTGTTTTGTTAAATTGTTCTTTGCCTGGTGGTCAGATGGGCATAGCAACAGTGAGCTCTCTCTCATCTGGGTCATGCCGGGTTCACCGAAGGTTAAAGCTGCTCAGCCTTAAAGACAAGGGATTGAAGCTTTGTTGAGCTTCAGATTCTTTTTTTCCAGTTTACTAAATCCATAATCTCCAGCCCTGAATTTCTTTCATAGAAGAAATTTCCATAATGACCGTTTATTTTTATAGTCACTGTCTTACAGGCGGTTCATCTTCCCTGCCTTTCTTTCCAGAGAAATTCACAGGGTAAAATGAGGCACGTGAGGGCTTTGTGAATGTCAAACTACAATTTCCGTGATGAGTCGTGATAAAAAAAGGTTAGGGTTGACTAAGGAACTTCATGAGCATTGTATTATACAGGGCTAATTAAACCATTGAAGACAAGATAGACATCTGACGTTCTTTGCGTGTCTTTACGCATCCTCAGTTAGGAAACTTCACATTCTTCTCAACTTTCAGTTGTGTTAGTCTTTCCTTCCCGTAATTTACAGCTAGCTCTACTCATACTCATTCATAATACTGCCAATTTCTTCTTTCCTTCACTATGAAGGTAAGACATTAAATGTAAGGTGGATGTTTAAATATTAGTAGCTGACTGAAATCAAAGAATTCATTGAAAATTACAAGGAAACAGGCTTGATCTTTAATGTTGGTCCATTTACAGAATTGTTACTGGATACAACAACTCTATTATGAACATCCAATAAAGATTGTGGCCATGTTATAACCCTCTGGGTGGATTTGATTCTTTAAGTCTATTTAGTTTTCTTCTTCTTTTTGAGCCACCATTATTCCTCCTTTTTTTTTTTACAAGTGAGGTGGGGGAAGTGAGATAGATTTTAGAAATAACAAGTTGGGGGAAAGTGTAAGTTTCTCCAATTTGCATGGTTTAAATTGAGTCTGGATCAGGCTTCTGCATAAGTATTGTAGGGTAAATGAATTACCATTAAAGGGGGTGATGAAGTGAATGCTGTGTAATTAATGTTTAGTTTGACACATGGGGCAAATTACATGCTATTTAAAACTGTAGTTGAAATCTATGCATTTTCTGCCTTTTTTACTATAGAGCAGGGGCAGGAGATCCAATTTGGGTAAGATCCCTATATTGAATATGGCAGTTTTAATCCTCTGTCTGCTACTGCAGTCATGATAGTTTCTGAGACCTCTTATAGTTCCCATATCTTAATGGGTAACATTTTTTGCAAATAGATAAAAGCTTCATCTAAGAATTATAGTAAGGAGCCTTCTTTTCTCCACCCCATGCTGTCGGCATCTTTAAAATAACATGCAGTTGGGCATTGAAAAATGTTGTTTTATTGAGGAACTCATAATTGAAATTAAATCCTTTCATTGCTTCCTGGAATACAGATGAACAGCCGAAGGAAACATGTTATACAAATGAATTTGCCTATTGACTCACATATTCATTTATTGTGGATATAACTAGCAGAGGGAAAATTATGTTTTCATTATAACTCCCGTAATCCACTTCCAGAGATCATACTAGTTGAGGAAAATAGAAGGTGTAATCCAGTTTATCTGAAGATCATAACAGTTGTCTTCCTTGGACTAACAGAATTATGTTTGGGAATTAATTTTTTCCTGGTGGTAAAATGCACTTTTGAATGCAAAGTTTAAGATACATTTTTTTTTTAAAAAAAAACAACCTTTCAAAACAAAAATAGAAACAGGACAGTATTTTTTTTTTGCAGGAAATTAAGGGGTTAAATGTTTGCAGATACTTAGCCTACTGTCCCATCCCCCTGGGTATACCCCTTAGTCTGAAACACAAAATAAACAAAATGCTTTTTTCTCCCTCTAGTTTAAAGGATTACGGGAGTTGTAATGAAAACATAATTTTCCCTCTAATAGTTATATCCACAATAAATGCATATGTGAGTCAATAGGCAAATTCATTAGAACATGTTTCCCGATTTTTAAATTCTATAAGGCCCAAGCAACCAATCTTCTTCCCTTAAAATCATTTTACTCCTCCAAACTGAAAAAATATTTCAGACCTCCCCTTTTAATGAGACTGAAGTTTGCCCACTTATTATAAAGATGCTTGTGCTATCTCAATGAGAAGTGTCTTTTGATAGAAGACTCTTAATTCATAAAGGAGAAAACCAGTGCATGCTGCTGTTCTACGGTTCACCTAAGAAATATTTTTATTTATTGTAGTTATTATTTCATATCTTGACTCTCTGAGTTTCAGCCTCGCATCAATCATCTTGTAAAGCAACTTAAATGGAGATGTGCATCTCAATAGCTTCTACTTCAGTATTCCTAATTCCAGGGCAGAAATTACAGAAAAATTAAATGTAGGTTTTATCAATGATGTATAATCCCTCCAGTGCTAAATTATTTAAGGGTGTGGCCTAGTTTTGAAGAATAAGGCAACTTGTTTAAGAAGTCACCTATCTATCAACCTGCACCATCAGGAAATCAAACATCTGGTAATGACTCAGTCATCCCAGTGAATCCTAGATACCAACAATTCATGTTGGTTCTTGCAGATCCCTATTAAAGCATTCCAAAATCCTGCAGAACCCGACTGGGCTATTTAAGCCTGCATGCAAACCCAAAATGTTGCCTGCTTTTGTGTTGTTTTGTTTTGTGCCAGCAACCACACGTGTTTTTGCCTTCATAAAATAATTAGATGGACTTTTGCCCAATTCCTGCATCTTGAAGCAAGTCACAGGTTAAAGCTGCTTTTCCTCATGCTGTATTTCTTCTTAACTTTTTAGAATCGGGATTGCTTTTACAATTTTAGCATCCATTTTTTCCATGTTAAAAAATTTGCAGGTTCTTTTATAAAACCAACATGTATCCTATAACCAAAAAACATCCTGGAAGTAATCACAGCCAGTGAAAGTTACTTTATCCATTTCTCAACAACTGGATCGCCTTAGCAGCACTGTGTTCTTAATCAAAATGGTAATGTAAATGAACATATTTTGTGTAGAACAGTAATGCAAGAAATTCTACAGGATTAGACTGCTGTGGTAGATGAAATATGCCATGATTAAAATTGGGGATTTGGGGTTAATGGAAACGATCATCGTTTTGATTCCAGGATAATAACATTTTGCCATTCTTCTTGTCTTTTTAAAGTGATGAAAATGCAAGAAAAGCTCTGAAGAACTTGCCTACATTTCCTACCAAGACTTTGCAGGAGCATCCTTCACTTGCCTATTGGTAAGACCTACCGTACTTTTCAGAGTATAAGACGCACCACAGTATAAGATGCAGCAAGGTTTTGAAGAGGAAAATAATTTTTAAAGTTTTTGCACTCTGCAAACCTCCCAAAAACAGCCTGTCCCCCCCCCCCCAAAGGGAATGAATAGCCCTTAGAAGACTTGTAGAGTGCTCCTAGGGGGGTGGGGCAAAAACTAACAAAAAACAGCCCGTTTTTCACAAAAACGGGCCCGTTTTTTGTCCCCAAAAAAGGACAGGGGTAGCCTTTAGGAAGCTTATAGAGTGCTGCTGGGGGCTGGGAGGGGGCAAAAAACCAGGGCGTTTTTAGCTCATTTCTGCCCTCCCCAGTGCTCTCTGAAAGCCTTCTAAAAGCTATGCATGGCCATTTTGGTGAAGGGGTGGAGTTTCGGGAGGCAAAAAATGCTGTATTCAGTGTATAAGTCGCACCCAGATTTTTAGCCTCTTTTCTGAGGGAAAAAGGTGCATCTTATATTCCAAAAAATACGGTAATTATTAAATTTGCAGTGGCATCATATTAGGATCCTGGTTTGTTTTTTTTTGTATCCTCCTTCCTTATTAATTTAAAAATGTGTGAACAATTGACAGTAATATCTAAGGTCACCTAATGGGAAAAGCTTTGAATGCAAAATGGCTATTCTAAAGCTTGTGTTACAAGTCACCAAAGAACAACAGTTTTTCAGGAGAAAAACTGGTGTGGTTGCTCCTACCAACCCCTCTAATTCCTTAATTAACTCTCCTCCCAAGATTTTCAGTTTTATTCCAGCTTACCTTTGTCTTTTTTCTGGGCAAGTGGGCAAATTTCCAAACCAAGCATCATTTTTAATGCTTACAAAGCTTACTTGGAACCCAAAGGCATTTTTCTAAATACAGATAATACTGCACTTTGTGACATAACATCTCCCTATTTAATTATTATATTTTAATTGAAAGAATATTAAAATCATAGAAGCCATGTGGTAAGTGAGGCCTTGCTTTCTCCAGGAAACATTTCAGAAGCATTTTGGTGTCCATGGCTGCTGCCTTCTATCCTTCTGCTTTATAAAATAAAACACACTGCCTCCTGAACAGATTTTAATAACCTGGTATTATTATGGCACTGTTGAACTTTTCTTCCTGTTCTGATTGCTTGAAAAATCTATCAGAAAAATAAGATTGTATTTGATCCAAACTCTGGAAATCAATGCGACCAAAGCTTAGGAGACTATAAGTATATGAGAGTCCAACCGTGGGATTTAAAAATAAGTTTACTTGCTTAAGAGAACAATATCCAGAAATTTTTATTAATAAAATAAAGCATAATATCCCACTCCGGGTAGTCCTCGACTTATGACTACAATTGCGCCCAAATTTTCCATTGTTAAGCAAGAGATGCTAAGGAAAATGAGTTTTGTCCCATTTTAATAACCTTTCTGGCCACAGTTGTTAAGTGAATTACTTTAGTTGTTAAGTTAGCAACACAGTTGTTAAGTGAATTTGGCTTCTCCATTGACTTTGCTTATTAGAAGGTTGCAAAAGGTGATCACATGACCCCAGGATACTGCAACCGTCATAAACACCAGCCAGTTTGCCAAACATCCGAATTTTGGGTGTATGTGCGCGCTTGAAGCATGCTGCACAAACATGCATAGTACTGAAAAAATTGCTTCTGCACATGCGCAGAAGAAAAAAAACAAGATGGCGCTGCCTACAGCACCACCGATAGAACTGGTTCAGGTGCATGGGCGGCCGAGTTACTACCTACTCAGCCGAACCAGTAGGAACCTACCTCTGGGTTATAAGCATGAAAAACTGAAATAACTCACTAGTTATCAAATGGTTGCAAGTGGAGGACTACCTGTACTTAAATAAGAAAGAAATGCATGTCTACTTGCCACCCTTTTTAAGAGTTTCAGTTTGCTTTGATATAGCTAATCAGGAGTAACATATTGCATACTGAATAAAACTAAACATCTGAAAAGCATGATTAGGTGAGTAAAACTGAGGTGTTTTGAGCCACTGAGACAATTTTCTGTAATACTGTAAGAACACTTGCAAGTGGCACTTTGGTTTTTAGTGGTTTCCCTGAGCTTCCGTAACCAATGTCCTACGGAGAGTTGAGTCTGCAACTTCCAGAATTTCAGGTCAGCATGGTGGATCCACCTGGAGAGCACAATGTCAGGAAAAGCTAGTTATTAATTATAGAGCTGTTTCCAGGCTTCCTTGTAGCAAAGTTTTGTAATGAAAATATGCTGCTGTCTTATCATTAAAAGACCATCATTGTCAAGTTGTTATTGTAAAATTTTCTTTACATAATCAAGCTTCTACATGAATTTAATGAAGAATAATGCAAAGAATAGTCTGTGGCTATTATAGTTTATGATGGCTTATCCCTTTGGATTGTAATCCTGGGCATGGTTATGCAAGGATTTAGAAGCCTAATCATACAGTGGAACAGCCTTTGTATGTTCCAGTAAGTCACTAGCTTTTTCTGTAAAAACGCTATGTCATAGGAAAATTCACAAGGGTGAGTTTCTTGGGAAACCCAAAATCAGAACCACTTACTTAGAGCCCAGGGATATCATACAAATATTTAGAGATTATCTTGTTGACAAAGAAACAAAATCTTCCTTGTTTCAATTCCTCTCCGTATGATCAGACCTAACCATTTTTCATGGTGGCATAATAAAAGAGTTCTAATATTTACCATTTTTCTTTGGAAGAGGTTCATTTAATATCCATATGACGTTACTTTCTGCAATATGGTATTGGACCTGGGTACTTGAGAGACCGCCTGCTGCCAATTACCTCCTCTAGACCAATTAGATCCCACAGATTAGGCCTCCTCCGAATTCCATCCGCCGGCCAGTGTCGACTGGCGACTACCCGGAGGAGAGCCTTCTCTGTGGCTGCTCTGGCCCTTTGGAACGAGCCCCCTGTATAGATTCGGACCCTCTCCACCCTTCAGGCCTTCCGGACGGCCGTGAAGACCTGGCTGT